AAGGATACATACGTAGTATGTGATACAATAGAATCCAAATATCTACAACTCAAGGATTACACAGAATGTGAGAGCCAATTATATGTTTATCGAACTTGAAAACTCTTTCCTTCTAAATTCCAATATATCGAAATTAGAGAAAACATCACTTTTAATTAGCTCTGCGAACTAAAAAGTTTTAACCCATCCATGAAACTTCAAATTGAAATGAATCACAACATTTTTTTCTTTTAATACCCATGTTACTAACACGAACATGAAGTCAACCTTGCAAAGTGAGGTGAGCATACATCTAACATAAAAATTGCTAGAAAATAATAACACATTCAAAATTAGGAAAAATAAATTAGAAACACAGATTAAATTTTCCAAATCTTTTTGGGATGAACACTAAATTCTCCACTTAAACTGAGTCTATGACTTCATGCCAGATTCTCTCTTTGTAGAGAGGAAAATGTTAAGTATACACATCATGTACACAAGTTGCACATGGTATAAAAGTAAAAAAAAAAAAATCTCATTTCCTCATCCCTCTTCTCCCTCTCTCGGTTCTCTCTTCCTTCTCTCTTCTTCCTCTCCGCTTTCTCTCTTTCCTCTTTACCCAATCTCTTCTAAAATTCTCAACAACAACAAAATTATCTTCTTCATCCTCCTCTTTCCTTCTTCATCCTCTTTTTCTCTACCTTTATTTATCAATTTTTTTTATTATGTGCACAAAATCAACTTATTTATCTTATTTCATAAATTTTTATTATGTTTCTAATTTTATTCAAATTAATGTAAATTGATTACACATACAACTACATCTGTCATTTGGATGTATATAGAAAATTGAGTTTTTTGTTCACTCAGACAATTAAAATTGATCACACAGACAACTAAAGTTGATCACACAGACAACTATTGTCTGTGGAACGCACAACTATTGTCTGTGTGGTAAAAGTTGTCTGTGCACACAGACAAAAAATTGCTTGTGCAACATGAAAATATTGTCTGTGCACACAGGCACAGCACATATATTGATTGATTTGCAAGCTGATGTCAGTGTCAGACGGCTGTCAGAGTACTTTTTACAAAAAAGTAAATATATGTGGACACAGACAAAAGTTGTTTGTGTACACAGACAACTCTTGTCTGTGACCACTGACAATTCCGCACTAATTGTCTGTGACCGACATTTTGTGTATAAGTTGTGTACAACTTGTGCACCCCTAGCATGGTTGTTGTAGACAATACAATTGCATACACATGTTCAGGTCTCGTCTTCAGCGTGTGATAGCAGGCAGTCCTCTCTTTGCTCTCTGAGAAATAAAACATCAAGATAACATGTCATAACTGAAAAGGCCATCAATCAAACAAGTTATACGGAATTTTCTCCAAGGGGTAAAAACAAAATGGTTTCCTTAAATTCGAAACTGTATGAATGCCATGATATGACAATGGCAGTACTTATCGTATTCAGTATTAAAAAACAAAGTACCACTTGGGAAAACCTATGTTGTAAGACCCGACCCGGACCACCTAGTCCGACCCGGAACCCGCCCACCAGTTCACAAATGCGGTCCGATTAGTAACCAACCCGTAAAATAGCCAGAACCCGGAAAAACCCGATGACCCGCTAGAACCCGCGTCGGACCCGGGCCCAGAATTAACCGGAAAACTCATGAAAACCGGAGTGTTTTAGAATTTCAACTGCAGCCCAAAATTCCCAACGTGAGATTCGATCCAGGGTCTACTCCCCATCACAGCGTACTGCAACTATCCACCACCACACCAAGTTGTGATTTTTCGTGCATTGATGTGAGTTTTCTCGCACTTAAAAAGATTGTAATATAGTGGTGTAAGTACGAGTATCGTCTCCACAGGGACGGACAAAAGGGAATCAAGAATTAATTAAATTCAGCGATAAAAATAAATAAAATAAATGTGTCGTGCGAGATTGGTTGCTGGAAAATAAAAATGCGAAAAAAACGATTAAACTAGGGGGTTCTTTCTAATTAATGACGAAGGGAACATGCGAAAAAAACGATTAAACTAATTACATGAAATTAATTTAATTGAGCCTAGCTAATCACTACTAAGTTCTTACCGCTCTCGCGGCGTAGAGTACAATAAATTAGGGGACCAAGTTGATCTCTCATGCGACAGGATCCTAAATTATTGCCAAGACGAGCGAGCTTACGGCCCCTTAATCGCTACTAATCTCTTAGCGAACGATTAAGTGTGTGTGAATGTGTCCTAGAATAAATTAGATCTCGCTTAATTTATTCTACAAGCAATTGTAATTCTAGCCGCGGTTCCAGGTTACAAAAGATATCACTTAAATTATTCAAACACAAATTAAACGACATTCATGCAATTAACCCCTCAAGAATCTAGCCATACATCATGATCAACCCCTTCAACAATCTCAAATCCCTAATTAAAACTACTCACAATTCATAATTGAAGAATCAATAGAATTGGAATAAAAAGAATTAATTGTCATTAATTAAAAAGGTGGAACTTACAAAGAATCCCAAAAGATTGATGAACAAGGCTGAAAAGCCCTCTTAAATTCTTGCTAGACACTCTCTCTAAGCCCCCCCCCCCCCCCCCCCCCCCCGAAAACGGGGGTTTACAGGCTATTTAAATAGAAAGATCGGGTGAAATTTGAGCTGAATTAGGATTTCTGGAGGCAGGCACGGTGCCAGGCACGATCATGCCTCCGGAGCAAAAACGCGCATTTTGGGCAGGCACGATCATGCCTGACTGGAAGTAGCTCCGCGATGCTTTCTCTTCACGCACGATCGTGCCTGACTTTGAGGTCACGATCGTGCCTACTTAACTTCCGAATTTGGCAATACTTCCTTCATGAAAGTTGTAGATAATGAAGTCATCTATCCACCCCAATTTGCCGAATGTGATTCGAATCAACCAATTAAGAGATATGATCAAAACGGTGGAAGGTATCATTCTGAAATCGCAGCAGAGATCATCTGACTTCATCGTCTGGTTTCACCTTCTTTCCCTCCGATTCTTGCAAAGGTGTCTCCATATGATTTGTAGCCCTTGAAGTTAGCTTTCACATGGACTTTGAATCGTGTTCTTTGGATGTTTCTACAAGAAGATATGCTTGAACGATTGACAGAAGGTCATCCTAATCGTCGTTTTCAAGCTCTTTTCGTCTTCTTTTGATCTCATAACCAATCCTAGAGCTCTTTTGCCATCAAATCTTCATCGTGAACCTACCGGTGACCTCCAAATCTCTCAATCCACTCTCGAATACATCTTGAATCATCCCGATTGCTTCTCAAGCGCCGGTGCCGAACTCTAAATTCCTGATTTTGACTCCAAATGACACAAAACTCGAACCAACGCCTGGTAAACATAACTTGAGCTAAAATTGAGACTTGTAACACCTTAAAGCTAGGAAAAACATCAAAAGCCGATCCCAACACGCATCAAATGTGTGTCTAAATACGGACTTATCATACATGTAGCCTTCTTAGGGGGTGTTTGGAACTGATTCTGCTTCTGCTTCTTTTCTAAAAGCAGAAGCGGAATCAGAATCAGTTTTCAGAAGCTGGTACCTCCTAGCTTCTAAAAAAACTGATTCTGAGAGTAAATTAGAGCTCTAGAAGTGCTTCTGGAATTTCACCCAAACACTCCAGCTTCTGCTTCTGCTCCCTGAAGGAGTAGAATCAGTTTTGAGAATCAGATCCAAACATCCCCTTATACTGAACACATTATTCTCTTATGTACTCATGCGTACTAACTACAAAGCTATCATATTATTACCGTATATTTTAAATAATATTCCACATATAATTGAAACTTAATCATACAATACTTTTATGATTTTGTAATAAATAAGTTATGTTCATATTTTCTTTTAGCAAAATGTATATGATCTATATGAATGTTTATTTAAGAAAGAACATATATTTAGAAAATTAAAAGATGAATATCAAATAACATTACAGGCATGATTAGGATTAAAACTTACTTTAAAATATTATGTGTGTTTTTCAGTGTTTACTAAGGATTAACATTATTTGTTATAAAAAAAAGGATCGACATTATTTCATTATTTTGCAGACTAATTAGCTTTTATTTTAATTTTATATTATTATATGTTAAGTACTAAGGAGTATAAAATTTTATGTATGTTGACCGGGTTTCCCAGGCGTTGACCGGGCTGACCCGCCGGGTCCGGGTTGACCCTTGACCCGGCCATTGCTCCAGGTCACGCTCCGGTCCGGTTTTTACAACATAGGGGAAAACTACATTTTTACTTTATCTATTTAGGCAATTTCTTTCAATTATAAACGAGGTCTTTTCAGTTTTCATACTGTTGAAAACAATTACTTTTAAGTGAGAATTTTCACGGAAATTGAATTGTGTTTTGTTAAATAAATCGGTGAAACCCATATATTAGCATCAGCCTTTTACTCCACTCAAATTTCAGCACCAGCCTTTAAAATTCCAAGTTTCCTGCATCAAATTTCATAATTCATCAAAGAACATAAATCAATCAAAAACCTCCATTAGGGCCCAAAAGGAAGAATTCTTTCAAGGGCAAATGTGTCAAACGTGCACATTCTTTTTCATTTGTAATGGGATAATATAAAAAAGAAACAATAGTAGGTAGTTACAAGATATTATTTACTTTAATTTTACTTTTTATAAAAAAAAGGAGATAAACAAAATTTATTTATGGATTTTGTTAATGAGTTTGATTACTTTTTGGCCTAGGTTATCCAAAACATGATTTTCTTTCAGTGAGAACGATTTTGTTATGTGATTTCATAAAATCACGTTTATATTTACTTGTGCAAACATAATTTCAACTATTAACTGATTAGAAGTTATAGAGCCCATTTATCCGGCCTATCAATTTTTTTTATCAAATATGTAATTATTGATTTTGCACAACGATGAATTGTAATATCATCAAAATAAGTAAGACTGAAGTTAATTTTCAGACCGAATTGGTTGAAATTGCTAAAGATGACTGACTATCTTAGCTCATTCTCATATAATCGTTTTCATTAATAAAATATATTCAAATATAACAATATCATTTCGGCCGATTCAGACGTTTCAACTAGAATTTCATAAGTCAATTCAGCCAAATATGTTGTATTGAAAACTTAGGCTGAAGTAGATCATCATCATCATTCCAGTGCTGGAAAGGCTCCCACCTACGGTGAGGTAAGGCGTTAGGCTGAAGTAGATCAAACTCATAAATACAATCCATAAATAGACAACGTGCATCTACTTTTTTTTAATAAAAATGAATAAATGTTAGACTACTAATTATTGCTTTTGAAGAAAAAGAAACATGTCCCCTTAAAAATGTAAAATAACTTAAACCACGTATTTCTTTGGGGTGTCTGCTAGGATCCTCATTCCTCACAGAGGTTTTTGTTTTTAAAGGTTCTCTGTTTCTGAATGTCTTGAAAGCCTCGTGCTAAAAATGAGAATATTAACAATAGGTACTGAAAACTAAAACTATGTAAAAGATTGGTGCTACAATGTATGTTTCACCATTAATAAGTTTTAGAGGGATATGTAACATGTGCAGTAACATATGCAGCAGTTGCATATGACAAGATGTATTTAACACTCATTTTAATCCCTTTTTTTTAGCCCGAAAGACCGTCGTGATGGACGGGGTGAACGTCAGGATCGTTCACCATTTTTTATTGATTAAGAACTTTAGGATATACAAGTTTAAAACCAAAAAAGGTGAAAAGAAAGCAAAAAATGGCCCAAAACTGAGAGCAGCCCAGAATGTGGACCTTAGTTGAGAGCCTAGTGCGGACAAATTTTAATCCCTATAAATACACTCTATTTGTTAATATCCATACGTGCAAATGTGCCTGGTAATACAACCTTTATCTTTTTGTAGAAATTAATAGGTGTACTAAAGGCATCTTATCATATGCTGATATGCATATGTGCAGAAAGTTCAATCCAAATGTATGTCCAAAAAAAAATCCAGTTAGTCAAGGAAAGCAAAAAGAAGTCATTTTTAAAGAAAATCATACAATCAATGAAACTGATTCCCATCTCAAATGCAGGGAAATTCAGAAAACCTTTCACAGAAATATTTTCTATCACTCAAAATAGAACACAGAGGAAAACTTTTTTTTACCTTAGCAGGAGGCTTTGATTGATAGACCTCACATCTTTTGCTCGAGAAATTATTGGATCTGGTAGGAGTGAATAAAAAGCGTTCGTAGATGAGATCTCTGCAGGTAAAATCTGAAACCGGCAACTCACGCAACGCAACTCCACAAGATCCATACTGGTTTGAATATTTTCAGAATGTGCCATATTTACTACGGAGTATGTCAGACATTTTGACTGGGCTATTGCAAATAGGACAGAATGACTCTTGCGAAAGCAAAGGATCTGTTTTGAGATTTTGTTTCTTCCGTTTCCTCTGAGATGCTGTTGGACCATGACATTTATCATCTTTTGGAATCCTATTGAAATGAAAAGTGGTAATCTTTCCAGCCGTTCTTACAATCATGCTCTCTCTGGACAGATTCTCCTCAAAACAGCTTTAAGCTAATATATTGCAAGTATCAAAACCTATACCATGTTTAAGCTTATATTCCTTAATGCAAACTACATATTCTTTCCAATGAATGGATTCCCATCAAAAGATTTTGCTTTTTAAAGACCTTGATTTGACAAGACTATAAAATCTTAAGCATGTGTATGAAGCCATAATATAGTGGTACAACTATTAAGTACTCCTTCCGTCTAAAAAAGGTCATACTTGAGGGAAAAAGACCAGTGTCCATCCTTCATGACGGCATGCTCCGTCCGGCCACTGCCGTTTGGGGAGCTCCTGGTGGAACTTTTTAATGATTTTTTTTGAGAATGTTCCTCATCAAGTCTAGTTTATCCACACACAAAATTCAATCGAGAAGTCAGTTAAATAAGTTATTGAAACATACATCGCCAAACTATATATAAAAGCGCAATATTTTTCAATGATTTATTTAACTTGATTCCCAATTGAATTTTTAGCTGAAATTTCTTGTGGATAAATATATATAGCGAAAAAACTTTCAATCCTTGCTATTCTATACAGCTGTCTCAGCAATAATTTGCAGGGATCAGTCATGGAAATTACAACACATAAATAAGAAGGCATGCATTCACCATAAATTGTTATTACTTATTTTTTAAAAATATAAAAAACATAGTGAAATACAGCTCGGGAAATAAGTCAGATAAGATTGTTAGAAGTACATAGTTTTAATAAATGCTGAAACACAAACCTTGACAGATGCTTCAAGCACATGACAAGCAATCCTTGATGTGCACTTCCCTAGCACAATTTTGGTTTATCTATTTTCCATAGCAATCTGTGCAAAAAAAACAACTTTAGTTTAGATCATAGTAATCTCTTTGCAACATAAAATGATCCAAAAGTGTATAACCTAAATAGCTTTGTAGGATAACCTTTTGCAAGACCAGCATACGCATATGCTCCAAGAGATCTTCTTTTCCTGTTGTATCAGTAATAACATCAATCAACTTTTTCAGCCGTTCTCTTCCATCAGCAGGTTTGAATGAGTACACAGACTCAGTAGGGACAACATGGAATTGTTTCAGTGGTGGGGCAAGATTTAAAACGATCAGTTTCATATGTTCAATTGCTTTATCAAATTTCGTGATGAGGGATTGCCGAGACTAATGGTTCATCAACAAAGGCAACCCCAACACCAATACCGGGTAACACTCAGTTCCTACTGGCTTCAAAATTCTTCTGACCTTTATCCTGCATCTCGGTTACAAAGTGAAGAGCCACCCTGGAAGGAAAATCCCATTATATCATGTAGTAAAATCTACTAAATTGTGTATCTTTAAAGTAATAAGAAATAAAGCTCACCTAGCTATTAATAAGGTAAACGGGTAACTAACATGTACATTAACCAGCTGTAGTTCATAAATTGATAAGAACTTGTGATTGTTACAAATCTAAACTACCAAGTTGGTAAACGAACTGCCAAAACAGTCATACAGTTATACTAGGGATTACCAGCAACATGCAAAGTCATGTAGCGCCGACTGTTTCTTATATGAAATGCACAAAGGAAGATTGGTTGGTTAAATCATTTTGCTACTTGAAAACAGGGTTTTAAAAATGCCATAACTGACCAATGTCTGAGTGGTTTACTGATATCAGTTCAGGGTTAGGATTTTAAAAATATAAGTCAATGATGATGAATGAATGATGAATGAAAAGGACTCAGTTAAGTGTTCAAATCCTTGCTTCGACGATCCTTGCACAATACCAATTAAGAAAACAAAAAGGACACAACTCGGAAGTTCAAGGAAAAGAGGTTTTATTCCCTCATACAATCGTGTCTTTTCTCAAAAAAGTATTTTCACAAGGGAAAAACAATTGAAAACGAGTTGAATCATAGAAGCAATGAAGCACTTAAGTAATATGTACCCATAAAAAGGTTTATCTTGTTGAATATAAGTATCTAACTTATAAGCATTTACCAGTACCTGCTACTTTGGTATCAGAGTATAAGTGTATGACAGAGGAAAACTTTGAGTGATTTATATTTTTCTATGAACAATATGAGTCTTGTATATTCCTTGCCAAGGAGGATGCACTAGTTTCTTCTGGGTGAGCATTCTGTCTTCCTTGTTGTTTTGAGGCAAAACAGAGCTGAGAAATACACTTCTCAAAACACTCCCCATTTAATTTCATGAACTAATCAACTAAACAAACCATCAAAGATAATCTTTTTACCATTCACAAATATAAGACCTTAAGCGCATCCCAAACTCCCAAAGTAAAAACCAGAGCATTTATTCACCAATACCCCCCGCACGAGCAAGACCCGTCCTTGAAATGATGAAAGCGGCTCGAGTCTCTCAAAATGATTTCATGATCAATGATCTTAGAGATATAGATTATAGCCAAATGACAATCCCCACAAACACGCAAGTTTTTCGTTATCCTAATTGCCAACCCGGGAGCTGTAGTCAAAATCCCATAAGCCAAAGCCAGCTTTTCACTGTGTTCAGAAAGCAGATCGCCTTTCTCCTCGTCGTCCACGTCATGTAGGGCAAAGCTCGTCTGTGGAATGTATCCCATCCCTTTAACACGACCGATCAAATCAGCTAAGAGATTGTATATTTCCTCGGACATCGGATGGCTTCTGTCTCCCACAAAGAATACTGAAGTCCCTTTCCTTCCTTGGACCCAACTGCATCCTGGTCTCTTCTTGATTCCAGAGTGTTTCATTAGAGACCTTACACGGGCTACATCTTTCCAACGCCTGGCATTTGCGTAAATGTTTGAAAGCAACGTGTACGACCCATCATTCTCTGCTTCCAAGTATGACAATTTGGCCGCTGCGTGTTCCGCAATCTCAACGTTCTTGTGAACCCTGCATGTTAGGAGGAGTTTCAAAAATCATGTAGTTCAGTTTCAATTCGTATATCAAGATTGGAATTTTAAAATATACAAGAATAAGACTCCAAACAAGAATGTGCCATTAGATTTGTGTACTTTGAGAATACGAATAAGATCACACCTTGTTCCATTCTAACATTAACAAAAAAATATTCGAACTATACACACAACATTATTAAACATATGGACATCCTTGAATATTAGTCTAGTACTGATCTTCCACAAGAAATGTTTATAGGAAAAAAACATGTTTCAGCTTTGTATCTCAAGTTTTAAAACAAGTTGTAATAATATTAGCTCTAGCTCATCTTTACAAACACATAGCTATGTACTGAAAAAGAATGTGCAAATTTTGATATTCAAATAATAAAGGCTAAAGGGTCAAATAAGTACATGAACTAACTTAAAGTGTTCAATTAGCCCCTTTTATAGGAGGTTCTGCTCGGCCATCGCCAATTGGGGCGGTTCCCGGTGGAATTTTCTGATGAAAATTTTTGAGCATCTTCTTCATTAAGTCTAGTTTACTCATATCAAATTTTAGCTAAAAATTAAATCGGGAAGGCAGTCAAATGATTTTCCAAAATGTACTGCGTTGTTTACCTGCGCAGTTATCTTCAAAAAATCATTTGACTGCCTTCCCGATTGAATTTTTAGCTGAAATTTGGTATGGATAAACTAGACTTAATGAAGAAGATGCTCAAAAAATTTCATCAAAAAATTCCACCGGGAAACGCCCCAATTGGCGACGGCCGGGCAGAAGCTCCTATATAAGGGGCTAATTGAACACTTTAAGTTAGTTCATGTACCTATTTGACCCTTTAGCCAATAATAAAATATGAATAAGAATATAAACATGTATCCGAATAAAATGAGAATATATATAATACAATATAGCGATATTTAATTTGTATGCATCCCAACCTGCAAGCACTCAACAAAGAAAACCAAATTATTGAGGTGGGCACTCCAGGCATATCATGTATCAGCTTCAATGCTTCATCCAAACGACCGGCACGGCCCAAAAGGTCAACCATGCAAGCATAATGTTCAATCTCGGGAATGACCCCATGATCTTTTGTCATGTTGTTAAAGTAATTCATCCCTTTGTCCACCATGCCAGAATGGCTACAAGCATACAACAGGACCAAAAAAGTTACACCATCAATCTCCAAATCCTGGTGCATCTGCATTGCTTCAAACACTCTAAGAGCGTCTTCACCCCGACCATGCATTCCGTATCCGGTCATCAGTGAGGTCCACGAAACGGTGTTTTTGTAGGCCATGATATCAAATACTGTTCTCGCAGTGTCAATGTCACCAGATTTCGCATACATGTCAATGAGACAATTAGACACGAATAACATGCATGTTTCATACTGGTTACGCAAGATGTATCCATGAATTTGCTGACCAACTCTAAGAGAAGACAAGCGGGCACACGCCATCAAAGCACACGATAGCGTAAATCCGTTTGGTATGACCAAGGAAAGATTTTCCTTTACCATTGATGAGAAGAGTTTCAACGCCTCATTGGCATCTCCATGTTGTGCGTATGCACCAATCATCGCAGTCCATGTCACCACATTTCGGTCTCTTAATTCAATGGCGTCAAACATGGCACGAGCCACCTCTACTTTCTTGCACTTTGCATACATGTCTATAAGACAATTAATGACCATTTTATCTTCCTCATCCTCTTCCTCAATATCATTATTCCCCTCTGAATGACATATGTGTTTGATGGCATAACAATGAGTCTCTCTCCCTTGATTCAATGCTCCAACAGAAGCACAACCAGAAAGAACCGAGGAAAGAGTAACAACGTTAGGGTTTGTCCCAGAAAGCATCATCCCGTGGAAGACATTCAGAGCTTCATATCCAAGACCCCTCTGTGCATACCCTGAGATTACTGCACTCCATGTGATAACATTCAAATCGATCTCTTGTTGTCTCATTCTCTCAAATAATCCTAATGCCTCCTTGAACATCCCTATCTGGGAGTACCCAGTCACCATTGAATTCCATGAAACCACATCTTTCACCTCCATACACTCAAACACTTTGTTGGCTTCATTCATTTGCTCAAATTTAGCATACATGTCTACCATCGCATTCCCCACGAAGACATCCTCGTATAAACCTAAACGAATAGCATACCCGTGGACTTGTTTTCCTAACCGCAATTCTCTTGAAGGAGCAAATGTGGGGATTACGTTAACTAAACTAATAACATCAGGACGCAAGTTGAGATCGCATCTAGATATCATGGCGCCAAACAAGCCTAAAGCTCGCCTGAAATCTTTTCCCTGCACATAAGCTGCGACAATGGAGTTCCAGGAAATGACGTCGTGAATTCCTCTCACAACCGTCTCGTCGAACACCTTCTGTGCGTGAAGCAGAGCTCCACACCTCCCATACATTGCTATGAGGCTGTTGCGTACATAGACGTTACTGTCATGTCCGGTAACCAAGCAAAAAGCGTGGACAGACTCGCCTCTAGGGAAGGAGGATAGCTCTCCACAAGCCTTGAGCACGTAAGGGAGAGTGTAGCCGTCTGGAGTCCATTGTAGTCTCAGCATCTCGCGGAAGAGAGGAACAACGTGGTCGTAGGAGTGGAGGAAGACACATCGCTTGATCAGATTGTTCCACCAGAATACAAGCTGCGACCGCCCCATCTCCGGTTCGGCATGGAGGCCGCCGGCGATGATGAGCTTGGCCTTGATAGAAGTCCTGCATCGTTTGAGGATGTCAGCGGAACAGGGAGGAGGTGATCGGGTATGTAATGCTGCTGTAGAAGAGAAGAGTTGCGTGAAGGTAGGAGAGCCCGGGTGCTTCAGACGCGGGGATGAGGGGAAGAGCATGCCCAGCAGAAGCTTGTGTTATCTTCGCATCTTGCATCAGAATAATGATGGGTTAATTCCCTTGGAGGAAAACATTGAAAAAATTGACTAATAATCCAGTAATAATAAAACAATCAAATTAAGAAATCACATAATGCATAAAAATCAGAGATATGAAAAGTATTTAAAATTTGAAAATACAAAAGTCGTAATCGTCCTCAATGGTATGTCATTAATAATTAATATCTTTAGACGTGACCTTTGCATTTTCAATATATATTCGCGTGCAGTAACAACGGTATCAATACAGCAGATTGAATCAAGATAGGGAGGCAAGCAAGCAGAAGCTGGAAAGAGGTAGATAGCTCAGCAATAGGCTACTGATCAGGAAAAATGAAACCGTGAGGCAAATATATAAACAACTAGATAAAGCTCGAGTGGTATGGGTCTTGATTTCAGGGGAGCATTGAATTTTTTAGATCACCAAAGAAGACCTCCAGAAATATCTGAAACTGCCGGGAGAAGAAGCTACATCACTCACAGACCTCAAGATTGATCTCAAGGAATTCTCCCCCATGTGACCCTGTGTTTTTGTATTGTTACAATACAATTATTAAATACTAAAATCTATTGTACGGCGGCTAAAGCTAGGAAGTCCTTCTGATAGAATCTAATGACTTCGCTCGGAATTCGATTCCCATCAATTGCATAGCGCTAAATATTACGAACAATAGAAATCTCTTATATTAAATGATACTCCGTACTAAATGCTAAGGTTTCAAGGACACATACACGATACAATATCATCTAAATAACTAAAACTCAAGAATTACACAGAATGTGAGAAAAACAACACTTTTAATTAGCTCTGGGAACTAAAAACTTTTAACCCATCCATTTTTTGTTATTGAAAGAAATATGCTTAAATTGATAAAACATCATTCAGATAGTAGGTAATTCGACAAAAAAATTCCCGACAACGTCGTCCCTCGAACCAGATTCAGAGTTAATCACCTCAAAAGAAGTAATATAACTCGTTGATCCATTAATAAGCACAAATGAGCCAAAAAAAAGTTACGTCAATCCTTCTATCCCCACATCCAAATTCAGTCTTACATAAAGTAACAACAAAAACAAAACACACCACGAAGCAAAAAAACTGTCCTGCCAGAAAAAATAAAACTAACAAAATAAAAAATCTGCCCTCACCTGCCGAACTGCACGAACCCCCAAACCCTTTGCCCTGGTCCTGACTGAAGCAACTTCGGCGGACTTACTGGTCGAAGTCCGTCCCTTCCCCATTTTTTGTGCCATCAAGTGCCATGTTGTCATCCTCAAGCTTGTCCTCTTCCTGGGAGTCCCAAATCCATCTTCGTTTTTTGCTCCCTCGATGCTTCCTCCTTTGTTTCAATCACCACACCTTTGGTTGTAGTCTGTGCTGATTCTGAAATAGTCTCATTCTCCCCTCCTCCCATCCTACCATTAGACTTATTATCCCCCATGGTCCTACGGTCTCTGCCAGAGCTCGATGAACCCTCCACCAGCCATTTACTTCCTCTTGTTGGGGTAGTCTTCACCCTGCTACCCGCCCTAAGCTGGACCCCGAATTTGTTTTCCAGAACTAGATTCTCTTCATAGGTCAGAGGGCAAAATTTGTCTGAATGCCCAATTAGACCACAGATAAAACAGAAGTTGGGCAACTTTTCATACTTAAAGTCCACCCAAAAACTCCTTTCTTTCTTAAGGTTGGTACCTTTTTTCAACGATTTTTCCACATTCATACTCACCTTGATTCTCATATAAGTCTTCCACTTCTCACTATTTGGATTATCATCATATCTTATAAATTTACCAATAAAATTTTTAACCCGCCTAACAGTACCTAAATTCACTAGACTGTAGGGTGCATTATGGACTTGAACCCAAAACCCAGCCTCATTTAACACAAGTTTATGCGGAATATCATCTGACTTAACTTCTTTCAAAATCAACATATTATGTTCAAATTGTCAAGGGCCACCATCTAACACACGTTTCCTATCCACACGATGATAAAAAGTAAAAAGGTAGCTTTTGTCGCCAACTTCTTTAATTGAAATTTCTTTCCCCAGCCTCCATAGCGAAGACATGAGTTCCTTAAAAGCTGGGAATTTGACTTTTCTATCTGTCAACAATGCTCCCACAACCGAAAACCCCGGATTAGGGATGGACTCGGGCCGGACCAACCGGTCCGGAACCGGACCGGCCCGCTATTGTGCGGGCCCGTACCGGCCCGGTGAACCGGTTCGGGCCTCCCGGCCCGGTGGTATAGCGGTCCGGGCCCGGGCCTCCAGTTTAGTGAACCGGCCCGGCCGGGCCGGGCCCGGTTCGGGCCGGAATTTAATTATTTTTTTTTGGAATTTTTTTTAAGTTTTGGGTTGGATTAGGTATTTTGGGCCATTTGAGGTGGTTTGGGGTGGAGAGGGAGGGGTAGGGGGTTAAATAAGAGAAGAAGAAAGAAAATCCGGGTGGCCCGACCCGGTCTGGCCCGGAACCGGACCCGGAACCGCCCACCACCGGTTCAAGCTCGGGCCTCATTTTTCTGAACCGAGGCCCGGCCGGGCCCGAACCGGAACCGGTCCACCCCTACCCCGGATTGTTCTCCTCTACCGGAGATTCCTCAATATCAACTTCATCAAGATCCAATTCTTCTTCCTTTACCCCAATCGACATCTTCTTGTACCAATTAACAAAAATTTCCATGCAATCCGGAAGCCCTGTCCTCCAACCGACAAGCCTCCCCTGGACACCAACGAAGACCGTCGAACCCGAAGCTGCCGATTCCGAAGAGCCACCCTTCACTGGAAACCGTCAAGCCTTTCACCCTAGAAGCCGTCGATTCCTGAATCCGGAATTTGACACCCCTGCTGCAGACGGGTCTCCTTCCAAAGCCAACCTGCTGGAAACGAAAGCCAAATAATTCACAAAAGGCTGGAATCCCAGCCCCGCTCCTCGGACTTGCCGATAGCAGGCGATCCTAGGCTAAGCGATTACCAAAGCGGTAACCCTAGTTTTAACCCATCCATTAAACTTCTCAAAGTAAGATTAGTCACAACATTTTTTCTTTAACTTACCCATGTTACTAAACGAACATGAAGTCAATCTTGCAAAGTGAGGTGAGCATACATCTAACATAAAAATTGCTAGAAAATAATAACATATCCAAAATTAGGAAAAATTAATTAGAAACACAGATTGAATTTTCCAAATCTTTTTGGGATGAACACTAAATTTTCCACTTAAACCGAGTCTATGACTTCATGCCAGATTCTCTCTTTGTAGACAATACACTGCATACACATGTTTAGGTCTCGTCTTCAGTGTCTGATAGCAAGCAGTCCTCTATCTGCTCTCTGAGAAAGAAAACATCAAGAAAACATGTCATAACTGAAAAGACCATCAATCAAACAAGTTATAGGGAAATCTCTCAAAGTAGGAGTAAAAACAAGGTGGTTTCCTTATATCGGGCTGCAATGTTTTTCCCAGTGCGGCCATTATAAAACGATACGAAGTATGAATGCCATGATATGACAATGTGGTTTCACAATGGCAGTACTTATTCGTATTTAGTAAAAACAAAGTACTACTTGGGAAAATTATATTTTTACTTCATCTATTTAGGGCAATTTCTTTAAATTATAAATGAAGTCTTTTTATAGTGTTGAAAACAATTACTTAAGTGAGAATTTTCACATGGAAATTAAATTGTGTTTTGTTAAATAAATTGGTGAAACCGTATACTCCCTCCGCATTTAAAAGCTTGCTACACTTTTCTATTTGGGATGTATTTCAAATTTTGCTACATTTTCCTTTTTCGGTAAGCTTTTCCTTTAAAAATACCCAACTACCCTTACTTTTTCTTCTTTTTATTTTCTTTTTCCTACTTTTTCACCTTCTCTATACTATTCATTACCCCTACTATTTCCCCCTTAAATTTTGTGCCAAGACCTAATATCGTGATCTTAAATCCGGAGTATTAGCATCAGTCTTTTACTCCACTCAAATTTCAGCACCAGCCTTTTAATATCCATGTTTCTGCATCACATTTCATAATTCATCAAAGAACATTAAACCATTAAGAACCTTCATTAGGGCCCAAAAGGAAGAAATCTTCCGGGGGCAAATGTGTCAAAAACGTGCACATTCTTTTTCATTTGTAAGAAACAATAGTAGATAGTCACAAGATATTATTTACTTTAATTTACTTTTTATAAAATGGAGAAAAACAAAATTGAAGTATGGATTTTGTTGATGAGTTTGATTACTTTTTGGCCTAGGTTAACCAAAACATGATTTTTTTTCATTGAGGCTACAATTTTGTTTATGTGATTTCGTAAATTCATGCTTATAAATGAGTACTTTTGCAGACATTATTTTTATTATTAAATGATTAGAAGTTATAGAGCGCATTTGATAACCCCTATATTCAGCTTATCACCAAACTTTTTTACCAAACAATTAAATATTGATTTTACATAATGCTGAATTGTAATGTAAATAAGCAAGGCTGAAGATGACTATCTTAGGCTCTTAGCTATATTCTCATATAATTTTTTCTTAATTTCATTAATAAAATATATTTGTATATAAAATTTTCAATTCAACCAATTCGACTGTTTCAGCTAGAATTTCATCAATTTCAACAAATTGAGCCAATTCAGCCAATCACAGTGTAATCAAATGGGCTGATAATTTGAATATGTAGGTGAATTTTGATTGTATTAAATATGATAATAGTTAAACCTGCAATTATTTCTAGATAACTTAGGCTAAAGTAAAACAAGCTCATAAGTACAATCCATACATAGACAATGTAGCTAGAAAACCTGCATACTTTTTTTAATAAAGACAAATAAATGATAGACTACTAATTATTGTTTTTGAAGAAAAAGAAACATGTCCCTTTAAAAATGGAATATAATTTATCCTACATATTTCTTTTGGAAACATTTGTCCTGGGGGAAATTGTCTGCTAGGATCCTCAAAAAGGATTTTAAACGTTCTCTGTTTTTGAACGTCTTTTAAAAGTTCCCTGCTAAAAAA